CACGTTTGCTTTCCTGCCCCTTCCCACGGTCAGTGCAGCAGGGAGCATATACTTTTAGAAGTGTGTTTGTATTTACAATTTGTCCTCTTTTAGCACCTCAGATAATATATCTCCGTTTTAGAACTTCCCACACCTTGAGAATCTCACTACATATATAAATACTTTCCTTTTTGTTATCCAAAAGCTGTATCAAAATTTGATCTCATGATTTTAATCACTGATACTTATTTTTTACAAACTCAACATCTAGGAAAATAGGAATTTGACCAAAGTTGTTCTAAAGCAAGACCTCAGATGACTCCATAAAGTTAATAATGTAAGCAGCCAGTGTCCTGGCAGATCCCTGTGGGCCAGTGAGAAGGTGGATAAATGGCCTAGGTTGTGTGTGTAAGTGTGGACATCGACTTCTTTAAGATGTTAAATTCTGCAGGTTTTTCTTGACCACCTGTCCTGTGCTTTAGCATTGTCCTTGCTCTGGGTTGGGTGCTAGAGGCCTAAAGATGACCCATCGGCCTTGGTCTCCCTCTTCAGAGCAGAGCTTGCCTTCTAGGGGTCAGGAGAGTGGGGCAGCCTGGGTGAAAGTGGGAGGCCTGTTCCAGCTGCCCATGGCCTTAGATAACTGATCACTGGGCTTGTCTTAGGAGTCAGGGCCCCACTTGGAGTGTCGGTTTCTTTTGCATTAGGGGAAGCCAGCATTCCAGAGGATACTGGAGAAGAGTGGGTGCACTCTTGGTTACCCAGTTTGCTAAAACCTCCTAAGTCCACCGTTTTCCTTAGCTGGCTCTTGTTCAAGGGGAATCTTAGCCTCCACCACTGGTTTGCTTCTGCTGGAGTCTCCCTGGCCCCAGCTCCTTCTCTTTAACTCCTACTATTCCTCTTCAGGGACCTAGGATCAGCTGCCCCCAGTCTCACCCTTTCTGACTGTGCCCACCATTATCAATGTGGCAGAATTTGAAACCTTCCATATTCTGACTGCTGTAGAGCCAGGCCTTTTCTTCAAATCTCCCAATGAGAAAAGTCGACCTCCACTCTTCTCAGAATAAAAGCTTTCTCCTGTCACCTCCTGCTGCCCTCTGCCCTTAGGAGGCTCAGTAATAATAGGAGTTAAATACCCCAGGGCTACACAGGGTTTTTTTATTCTCACTCCTTCAGTTCCATGACCCTCACTGGGATAAGTAACTTCCTAGGCTGCCTGCCTGGGCCTGCAGGCCTGTACGTCAAGTGAGTAGGGCAGGCAGGGGCATGGAAAGTGGGGATGCAGGCCTCACTTAAGAGGCCAACATCCCAGCAATCAGGGCCTGACTGACAGGGTCCCAGACACAGAGACGCAGCCTGGAAGCCCCATAAGGGGCAAGTGTATTTTGCATTAACTATGCCCCCAACCCCACAGACACACAGCCATGTCAACCTCAATGTGATCCCACAGAGTGGCCAGGACAGATGGGGGAGCAGCTCATATCACTAGGAAAATAAAAAGGTAATTTTAAAAACACAATGTGAACTGTTTTAAATTCCTCTCTAGCCAGTGTGTTGGTAAGGATGTGCACATATGTGCATGTTGTGTGCGTGAGTTATTCACTGTGTATCTATCCTCAGAGTGCTACTCAGCAGGAGCACTTTTGTGTTTCTTGAATGACGTAAGCAAGTCCCTATGCCCGATTAGTGTCCATGGTCTCTGGAGAAGTCCAGAGAGGGGCCAGAGGCCCCAGGCAGTTTCTGAAAGAGAGCAAGTGGATCCTATGCCCAGGGGAAATGAGACTGGACACGACTGATCCTTGGCAAGATATCCAAGACAGCAAATGACTCTCCTGCCCCTTCTAAGGATGCTTCTGGCCCCAGGCCCCCGCTCTGTCTTGTCACTGCTCCATCCCTGGTCTCTTTGATCAGGTCATAGTCCCAGGCAGGTCCCTGGTCTGGTGAATACACCCATCCTGTGTCTCACCCTCTTGAAGTCTTTGTGACTTTCAGACTGAAGAGTGGCTAAATCTATCCAGGCTAATGTGTTAACAATAAAGGGAAGAAAACATTTCTCTGTACTTGTGGGGCTTTCTCTTCCTCTGGGGTACAGAATGTACATTTTAACTGGGGTAGTCTGGAGACGATGTGTCCACCTCTGCTATTGCTATCAAGGAATTCCTTTTATTTCAGTCCAGGCAGGAAAGAGGCAGTGTCATGTCAGAGGAGGGATTCTGGGGGAGGCAGAGCCAGGCAGGGCACAGAAATTGCGCCATATTGCTACCTAGCTGGGCTGCTCCCTCACACATATGGTGGAGGAAGGGAGAGGAGAGGTACTGAGATCTGGGTCCTCAGCAGGAAGGTGTCCCTCCTGTCCCACCAGTCTGGGGCTCCTCCAGGGGTGGTACAGGCCAGCGGCCTGAGCACCAAAGCCTTCACATTTTAGTGGCTCCAGCCAGTGTGGCTGCCACATGCAGGGACTGGAACCCACACGTGCACAGCTGGGGGCCATGCAGGGCAGGCAAGCGACTGATGGTGACAAAGACAGTCCCTGACGTGCCTGCCGAATGTCTGCCTTCCCCAGGACACCCGCCTTGGCGAGCCTCCCATCCACGATTCACGCACACCTTCATGCACACTGGCACGCTGAAACCCGGACTGAGGTTGCTGCGGGCTTGGGGCTTCCGGAGAAGACGCAGGGGCAGGGCCTAGAAGGAGAGGCCGGAGGAGCCAGGGAGTCTTGGCGTTAGAGGAGGGGTAGGAGCCGTGGGTGGGGCAGGTTCCCTAAGCGGGGAGGGCGATGGGGACTGACACTAGGGGGTGTCAGGGAACGAGGAAATTGACCCGGCAGGATGAGGGCGTGGCGAGGGGGGCCTGGAGCTTGGCGACCCCGGGAAGGGGCTCCGGGAGGGTCTGGGGAATTAATGGGGCAACATATGGCGGCTACTGGGGATACCTGGGGCGGGGAGGGTCTGGGAGGGTCTGTGATTTGGGTCTGCGGAGCGGTCCGCCCTACCTGTCCGGGGAGCCGCCGTCTGGGGCCAAGGGCTCCCCCTCGGGCCGTTGCTCCCCTTCCGGACCCGAGCCGGGAGCCGGACCGCTGCCGCCGCTGCTGCTGCTGCTGTCACCGTCCATGCCCGTGGGCGGCACCGCTGTCCGGGCGCTGGTGCTGAAGCCGCGGCGGCGGCGGCGGCGGCGGCGGCGGCGGCTGCGGCAGCGGGCTCGTGCGCATGCGTCGGCTCCGAGCGGGCCGGTCGCTGGGCGGGGCGAGGAGGAGCCCAGCCAATGGGCGCGGGGCCGCGGCGGGAGCGGAGCGGGCTGTGTCTAAGATCGCTGGGCTGCGGGTGTGAGCGCCCCTCTGCTCCCGCCAGGCCTGAGAGCCGCTGGTAGGAGTCCGGCCGTCCAACGCTTCATAGCGGCCTCGGCCTTTCCGTAAGGAACCAGGGAGCGCGACTCATGCAGAGATCCTCACAAATCGAATCGCAGACCCTTCCAGCCGGATAGAGGGCGAGCTCTACGCCCGCACTTCACGCTGGACGCCCCGGGTCGAGAAGCGGGCGGCTTCAGGCCTGCGAGGTTCCCGGCTCGCTCAGCGCTGTCCTCCCCTCCCCAGTGGGGCGAGGCATCAGCTTGGGTCTTTCTTCCCATTCTTCTGGACCTCGACTTGGACCTGAATGTGCACCCCTCAGATGTGGAGCCCTGACTCCGTTATTCAAGTGCGGAGTCTGGTGGAGCGGGGGTGGGGGGAAGAAGAGAGGCACTCAGATCATCCCCAGCTCTTTCTCTTTCTTTTTTAAGATTTAAAAGGTTTATAAAGCAAACAAATCACAGTAAGCTAAGGTTAATTTTTGATTCAGAGGGTACATGTGCAGGTTTGTTATAAGGGTATATTGAATGATCCCAGATCCTTTTTTATAGTCACCCCTGTCCCCCCCACCTCAGACTAGGAGGTGCCCAATAGCCACCAACTCCAGGGCACTGGGAGGTGCCCAATAGCCACTGACTCCAGTGTCACCTCCCCCACCAGGGAGTAGCTGTGAGTAGAGCACATTTGGGTATGATGGACTGTGGACAGGCCTGGCTAAGGGGTCTAGAACTAGAATAGATATTGGCAGTGTGAGAAGCCTGGGGGGGCAGGGAGTGGAGTGGATCCCGGATGTGGGATTTGACTAGTCAGAAAGGGTTTTACGGCAAGCAGGCTGTTCAGGGTCTGGTTACTTGTGCAGGGAGAGGCCTTGGTTGAAGACATGCGGCTGAGCAGAGAGTCAGGAACACTTGGATTATACGTATCCCAAAAATGTGTGCCAGTGCCAATCTGTGTAAGACACAGGTCATAAGGAATGGGGTGGAAGAATCTAGAAGTGTAGAAGTGTTGGGTCTGCCCTGAATAGCTTATACTTGGTTGGAGAGAGAAAGGGCCAGCCCATAAATTGGTGCCAATAGGCAAGATATGATCAAGCCCATGAAGTGACTGATACCATCTCTTTTCTGCAGCTTGCTGCAGAGAAGGGGACAGTATGCAAAGAGGAAGGACCTCTTTCTTCCTAATAGGCCTTAGAGAAGGCTTCTTGGAGATGGTGGACTTCAGCTGGCTTGGAAGAAAGGCTAGGCTTTGAAATGTGGAGGTAGGAGAGACGGAAGGCATTCCTAACCTGGGGTGGGGGCATTCTTCCTTACCTGTGCAAACAAAGGTAAGGAGGCTGGAAAGTTCAGTGTATTTTCAGGGAATGGTGAGAAACCCATCTGGATTGGAGGGAGGCCTCTGATCTGTAGAGTGAGGCATGCAAGTTGCAACCTTGGAAGGCCCACCAGATCTGGATGTACAGGATGGCACAGGGGTAATGAGGCCACACTTGAGGTCCCTCGATGGGAGGGGACAGGAGTGAAAGGGAAAGGAGAGGTGACCTTACACAGCCATTTATAGTGAGCAACATAGCACTGAGCTTCTGAGAATGCCAGGATGGTTGCCCCATCTTCACAACGAGGGAGCTTGGAGACAACGGGGTCCTCTGACAGCCAGGTTGGATATGAAGGAAGACAGGCTCTTTAAATAATAGAACGTGACCTCTAGGAGGCTGTTTATTAGGAAAAGAAGATTGTGGTTCAGGCCTCATTCCAGGTCAGCTGGGCAATTCTCTCAGGCTTGCCATCTTGTGTCCTGTTTTCTTCTGCTTCCTCAGTGATGTGGACCAGGGTGTGGGTGCCCTGGGCCATGGCCAGGGGGAGGCCCACAGGGCCCTGGGCCGTGGCCGGGGGGTGGCCCGCAGGGCCCTGGGCCGTGGCCAGGGGGTGGCCCGCAGGGCCCTGGGCCGTGGCCGGGGGGTGGCCCGCAGGGCCCTGGGCCGTGGCCGGGGGGTGGCCCGCAGGGCCCTGGGCCGTGGCCGGGGGGTGGCCCGCAGTGACCTGGAGGATGGCCATGCCCCCCACAGTGGCAGTGCCCCTATGGAAAGTCAAATGAACAATGTCAGAGTCTGAGGTCAGGGCTAAGCTTACCTGAGATAAACTCTACCTCACTCCACTTCCCCGGGGGACTCAGGACTCCTAGGCACCCAAGGAGTTACGGTGGAGGGCTGGGGACATGGGTAGCATGTCCCATGCCTTTTGTCTTGGTGAGGCCAGAACACTGAGCAGATAAAAGGGGAGCAACCTAGATTTATTGGTTTCTATTCTTTGAGCCGAGATATGACTCCCACTCCCTGGACCTCAATTTACTTTATTTGCAACTAAGAAGCAGAATTATTTCCTCTTCTCCTTTCTCTCACCCAGGAACCCTGGCAGAGTGATTAGAGGCTTTGCCATGCTAGGAACTGCAGGCTCATTGTACTTAGGAGCAAGGGTAAGGCTGGAGGAGGCTACAGAAGAGCTCTTTGAAGGCCAGGGGCAGGGGGAGACAGGAGGCTGGATCAGGGGAGATGAAAGAGCTGAGGAGGAGAAGGAGGACGGTTGGAGGATGAGAGGACACGGAGGGTAGGAGGTGGCAAGGTGAGGATGTATGTATTATTTTTATGGGGTGTGTGTGTGTGTGTGTACAGGGTGTGTGCCATATTTATATAAAATAGCTATGTTTGTGTACACATGTGTGGGTGGGTTCATATTCAGGCTTGCTATGTACACAGATACGTGCATGGAGTGCATGGTTCTGTGTACATGGGTATGTGTGAACTCATACCTGTTTCTGAGCGGATGCCAGACCCAAGAAATCAGGAAGAATAGAAAGTAAAGTAAAAGCTTTTCTGCCTCAGCCAGAAGAGGCCTGGAAAAAGTGTGGTTTAACCTTCCATCTTGGCTGGAATCATTCCTGAAGCCCCAAGGCCAGAGGAGTTTTTTTTTTTTTTTTTGCCTCTTGCCACAAGCCCAGGGGGGCAGGCAAGAGACACCACCTTGCTTCTGTGGTAGGGGACTGGGGGTCTGGGGCCCTGTGGAGCAGAGTGGGGCTATGCTCCCACTGTCCAGGCTGGATACCTCCCCAGTCTCCTTCTGCCTCCTAGGGCTTGATTAGGGCTTGGTACCAGTGGGGAAGAGGCAGGCTCCAGGGCTGGGCGCTTTCCTGTGACCATGGTAGAGCAGCCCCTGCCCCATCCAGGCTCAGTGGTGCCTGGGAACAGCCACTTCCCACCCCACCTGCCTCTCCGCTTATGGCTCTTTTGTTTGGGGGTTGGCACCCAGACCCAGGCCTAAGAACTGAGTCTGCTGGTGGTAGCCAGTGGGGGAGAAGAGGTGGAGGAGAGGCAGTCTCCTTTCTCTGGCAGGAGTAGGTCCTAGGGGCCCCATAGTGTGCTTGGAGTTTGGGAGCAAGCCAGCCATCCAGCGAGGCTGTGGGGGTAGCCAGGAAAGCAGAAAAGCATAGAACAGGCGGGGAAGCAGCAGGAGAGAGGATGGGCTGCTAGGGCAGGGAGGGGACGTGAGGAAAAGAGAGAGACAGATGGGAAAACAGAGGAGAGAACGCCAAGAAGGCTGCAGCCAGCAGAGTGCAGCGCTGCCCCCTCCCCCGCAGGGCTGATGCCTGAGCCTGCTCCCTTCTTTTCATTTGGGGGAAGTGGTGGCTGCTCCCTGAGGGTCTAGGAAGGAGGCTGGAGGTCTGGAGGACATTACAGTGGGGAGGAAAAAGGGGAGAACGTTGGAGGAACTTTCGTACCTTCGGACCTGTGGGAAAGGAAGGGAAAAAAAGAAGCAGCTTTGGTCATTTGGTTCTGCAGTGAAAAAAGTCTATCTTCTCCCTGGCGCTAAGGATTTCATGCCCACACACCTACCCCAAGAGGGCCTCTCGGACGTGGTCACTTGCCCGTCACTTGTCTGGCAATCATTCATTCATTCTCTCAGCAAAGATACATATTGGAAGTCAATGTAAGATTCAGCGGTGTGTCCCTCTGTGCTCAAGGGCTGGCTGAGTCCTCCTGGGTGGAGCGGCGCCTGCCAGGAGGTATGGGTCCCAACTCTGTCCGCCTGGAGCTGCTCCATAATGGCCAACCCTGTCATTCACCTGATTCTTGCTTCTACCTCCATGCCAGCCTCCCTGCCAACCTCCCCATCTGTCCTCTGCCCCTGTCACGCCCCGGGTATCTCGGGCCAATCTCTGCTCAGTCTCAGAGCTGTTTTTTGTCTCCTGTTTATGACCTTCTGTTCTCAGCTCTTGGCCTTTGCTCCTGCCTCCTGCCACCTGGAAATCTCCCTGGTGCAGCTGTGTGTTGCCCTCCTGCAGGACATCCACATGGGGGCCATCCAGGCTGCCCAGCTGTGGGGCCGGTGGGCTCCTTCTGCAGCACCCACCTGAGTGGTCCTGCGTGTTCTGAAGTGCCCCATTGGTGGGGATCACCTGCTACTTCTTTTTTTTTTTTTTGAGACGGAGTCTCGCTCTGTCACCCAGGCTGGAGTGCAGTGGCCAGATCTCAGCTCACTGCAAGCTCTGCCTCCCGGGTTTACGCCATTCTCCTGCCTCAGCCTCCCGAGTAGCTGGGACTACAGGCGCCCGCCACCTCACCCGGCTAGTTTTTTGTATTTTTTAGTAGAGATGGGGTTTCACCGTGTTAGCCAGGATGGTCTCGATCTCCTGACCTCGTGATCCGCCCGTCTTGGCCTCCCAAAGTGCTGGGATTACAGGCTTGAGCCACCGCGCCCAGCCCACCTGCTACTTCTTTAAGGCTAGGACGGTCTTTTGTTCATTTCGAGGGAAGCCAATGGCACAGCTCCCAAGAGCTGGATTCTGGATTCCGACCCAGCCGCACCTCCATGGCCTTGCCCTGAGCATAACCCCTAGCTCCCTTGGGCCTCGAGTGTGCAGTGGGAGAAGCTCCTGCCCTGTTAAGAAATATGAGTAAGCATGCTTCTTAAACTGGAACATGTTCTACAGAATATAAGGGCTTGTCTTCATTGTGGATCCCTACTACCACCTTCATACAAACACACACGCACATACATTTTTGGCATACTCTAGTTATGGCTGACTGATAGTCCCTGCCTTTACTGCTCTCCCCCTTCTTCCAATTCCCAGCCTCCCAGACACAGTGCTTACCTGGGTGCATCTTTTTGGAGTAAGAGCAGGGAATGACTCAAGGAATACCTGTGTTCAAAAGGTAACTTTTAGTTTCCTGTCATCTAAATTGTAGTTGGTCCTTTCTCCCTCCCAGGGATGCGCACACACACACACACACACACACACACACACCCTTCAAAGGATGAAAGGGAAAAAACTGCTCCCTCTGGCTTAGCTTGGCACTGTAGGTTCTAGGCATGGGGGTTAAATGGACACAGCAGGTTCACCTACATGATGGGTAGATGGAGACACAACAGCACCATGTACCAGCCCCTACACCCCATACTCTTACACTTGCCCCCCCTAGACTCACAATTATGTGTTAATCCGATTCCACTTGGGAAGATTTCAGTATCCATTCATTTGCTAATTATTCATGTTATGTGCCTGCCCTGTGCCATGTCATGGTACCCCTGTCCCTACAGACTCTTGTCTTGTGTAAACAGCTAGCATGGTGTGGGAGCAGGAAGCTTGGAGCGATCAGTGTGCCCAGAGCAGGGAAGGGTAGGAGGGGTTGCTAGGACAGGAATGGGGTTGGTGGCCCCTGAGGGCACAAGTGAATGGATTTTTGCCCTGGGGCACAAGTGAATGGAAAGCTGGCAATGTCTTGCTTGGGGCTGGCAAGTCACAATGGACAACCCCAGAATGGACCCAGTGAACATACAGTACATTCATTTTTTTTTCAGCCGTTAAATGGGAGTGTAGTATGTGATGCCAGGAGCAAATACTTGACATCAGGGCTTTCTGGTACTTACAAGGTTGCTGAGCATACAAAAATAAACAGTGCCCCCAATACAACAATGCTAGCCTCTTGCAAGACACGGCCCCCTGAACCTCTTTTTTTCCTAGGGAAACTTAGTGCCTCTTTAAAATTTTTTTTTTGGGACAGAGTCTCGCTTCGTCATTGAGGCTGGAGTGCAGTGGTGTGATCACAACTCACTGCAGCCTCGACCTCCAGAGTTCAAGCAATCCTCCCACCTTAGCCTCCCAAGCAGCTGGGACTATAGGTATGTGCCACCACACCCAGCTAATTTAAAAAAATTTGTTGGCTGGGCACAGCGGCTCATGCCTGTAATCCTAGCACTTTGGGAGGCCTAGGTGGGTGGATCATTTGAGGTCAGGAGTTCGAGACCAGCCCGTCCAATATGGTGAAACACCATCTCTACTAAAAATACAAAAATTAGCTGGGCATGGTGGTGGGCACCTATAGTCCCAGCTACTCGGGAGGCTGAGGAAGAAGAATCGCTTGAACCCGGGAGGCAGAGGCTGCAGTGAGCCGAGATCACAGCACTGCACTCCAGCCTGGGTGACAGAGCAAGACTCTGTCTCAAAAACAAAAATTGTTTTGTAGAGACAAGGTCTCACTATGTTGCCTAGGCTCAAGTGATTCTCTCACCTTAGCCTCCCAAAGTGCTGGATTACAGGCTTGAGCCACTGCACCCAGCCTCCTGCACCTCTTGAGCTACCCATTTTCCCGTTTTCATTGACTTCTACTTGTATTAAAATGTTCAGCTGAGGTCAGCCTGTGTTCTATACCCATGGTCCTTCCTGCTCCCTCATCCTTTCCCTTAGTGAGTGATTAGACTGGAAGAGACCCATGGGGCTGGGCTTTGCAGGGAGGAGAGGTAAAGAAAACCTTAGGGCCAGTCAGGATCTGGGTAAGATGAAAGAGAAAAGACTATCCTCAGAGTGTATCTCCCCAGTTCAGGCCCAGGTGTTTGAGGGACAGGAGTTGGCAGCTCTGGAAGGGACCTCATGCAGTTTCTTCCACTCTCAGCTAAGCCCTGCTGCCTGGCATGGCAAAGGCTGTAAATCAATCATAACTGAAGAAGAAAGTGGAAGTGCAGGGGCCCAGACTGGGAGTGGGGACAGGGCAAATGGACAGACACACACTCCCACGCAGAGACACTGAAGCACAGATACCAATTCAATGCACATACACACCCAGAGAGACCCTGACCACATGGACACACAACATACCCCACAGAGACCCTCCTTCCCCAGCCAACAGCAAGCAGAGCCAGGTCCCTACCTGAGAGTTCAGAGCAGGGGCAGGAAGTCTGGGCACTGTCTGTCCTCAGGTGTATTTGTACAGGTCAGGGAGGGGCTGGGATTGACCAGGTGCACTGGGAGGGCCAGGTGCAGAAGGCTAGAGGGAATGAAGAGGGATGGGCTAATCCTTATCTGGGCAAAGGACAGTTGAAAGCAGGATGTGTGTGTCTGTGTGTGTGTGTGTGTGTGTGTGTGTGTGTGTGATGGGGAGGCTGGGGAACAAGCCGTTACCAGACTGGTGTGGTAATGAGATGCCACAGAATCCAGGCAGAAGTCCCCAGTGCTGGCAAGGCTGTTTACACCAGGGACTGGCTCTGAACATTTGTAGAGCTCCTACTGAATGCCAGGCCAGGCATGCGGTGCTTCACATGCATTAGTAACCCAATGACTCCTACAAGATAGATAGGATGATTACCTCCTTTCAGCAGGTGGAGGAAGAAATAGTGACCCTAGTGGAGGACCTGGTGGAATCTTTGCCTTGGGCGCCAAGCCCCAGGCATGAATTGTCAGATGTGCTGCCCAGCCCAGGGAGCTAGCCTGAGAATGGAAATTAGACACAGAACAGGGAACTTTTGGGATGGATCTATGCAGGCGGGGAGGGAGCCCAGGCTGCCAGCTTGCTCTGCACTCCGAAAGCCCCTTGTAGTCTGGTCCCCACTGACCCCTGTGGCCTCTGATGCCTGCCACAACCTCTTGCTTGGCGTGCTCTAGCCATGGTGGCCTTCCTTAGTCTCCTGCAGGCAGACCTGGTGCCCTTGCTCAGTTCTCCTGTCTCCCTGGATCCTTGCTCTTAATGTCTCTTGCTCCCAGTGGGGATTCGGCTCCTCAGAGGCAGGAGCTGTGGTGACTTCCTTCCTTCCTTCCTTCCTTCCTTCCTTCCCTCCTTCCCTCCTCCTTCTCCTCCTTCACTACCTCCTCCTCCTCCGCCACCTCCTCCTCCTCCCTTTCTCTTTCTCTCTTTCTTTCTTTTCTTTCTGAGACAAGAGTATCGCCGTGTCACCCAGGCTGGAGTGCAGTTGTACGATCTCAGCTCACTGCGTCCTGGGTTCAAGCGATTCTCCTGCCTCAGCCATCCGAGGAGCTGGAATTGCAGGCGCCCACCACCACTCCTGGCTAACTTTTGTATTTTTAGTAGAGATGGGGTTTCACCATGTTAGCCCAGCTAGTCTCAAACTCCTGGCCTCAGGTGATCCACCCACCTCGACCTCCCAAAGTGTCGGGATTACAGGTGTGAGCCACCACGCCCGGCCTGTGGTGGCTTTCTTAGTCATTGTTATATCCCCTCAATTAGAGCAGTAACAGAACCACCATCAGGATACAATTTGGAAAATGGAGAGGAGGAAAGAGTGATCCTCCTTTATCTCCATGGTGGGCAGGAAAGTGTTTGTGTGCCAGGTTTTCTTACAGTATCAGTTATATCAGCTCTTGGAGGTAACAGTTATGATCTTCCCCTCTTTTATAGATTAAAGCATGCCAGGGTTCAGAGACATTAAGATATCTGTTTGAGGTCACCCACCAAGTGTGTAGTTAGTCCCAACTGTGGACTATATGAGTCTAGAGCCCGGGCCCTTTCTTCACCTTAGGTCATCTCTCCTTTTAGGAATGCTCTTCTGAAAAATTCCACCCTGCTTTGCTAACATTGTTGGTCAAAGGACTTTGGTTTATGACTAGGTGGAAGGTTATTAGTCCCTTTTGCACACATTTGCTGTGGGTCTATGGGCAACCAGGACAGGGTGAGCTACTGGGGAGGGGCAGAAGTCCCAGGGGAGGTTTACAAAGGTGTGGTGCCTGCCAGGCTCCGACCCACGCTGTGTGAATGTTACCAACTGCATCCACCACTCACCACGCTCACCGCCCTCACCAGCCCTCTAAGCCTTATTCTGCCTCCTTTTCCCCTTCAGGGACCTTGACACTGCAACCTCTCCACCTCTGCCCTCAGCCTTTGGCAGGAAGCTGAGAGACCTGTGTCTTCACAAACCCCCAGGAGGAAAGTAGGGGCTGAGAGGAATGCATGGGGGCCCAGTGCTGTGGGTTCCAGGCTTGAGGCCTAAGTTCTCCATCTCAGGAATCAGGGTCTGAACTCCAGTGGGTGCCAATCACAGAACCCACTACACCGGAGGCAGGCAGGGTAGTGAGGCCTTGGGTGGTGGCAGTAGGCCCTGCCTTGATGGGGTGGACCGAGAAGACAGGGCAGTCCCAGAAGCCCAAGTGGGCCCGGAGACCTCTGGGAAGTGAGGAGGGCACCCACAGCAGTGGTGGCATGTGGGAGATGATCTGTAGCAGGGTGTATGTGTTCATGAACTCTTCTCCTAAGATTTTGAGGGCAAGCAGGGCCTCCTCCATGTGTGTGGCCCCGCTACCCCTCAGCAGGCACTGTGCCTTACAGAGAGTAACCGCTCACCAAGTGCTTGGGCTTATTGCCTGGCTGAGAGTGGTGGCACTTCCCTACTAGAAAGTCACAGAGTGGAGAAGGGAGCTCTGTGGAGCCAGAGGAGATACTTCTGGGGTGAGGGGCTGGGATCTGGAAGAGGAGACGGGAGATCAGGGAGAGAGGCTGAAGGGCATCTCCTGGGGCAGTGGAGGCCATGGGGGGGCTCTGGGAGGGTGAGGACACACAGTGAAGGCCCTCTCTGGAACCCCCAATGCCTGTCAGCAGAACCAGGAAGGCCCCTCTGCCTCCTGGGCTGCCCTGCAGGGTGGGGAGGGAGGCAGGACAGCCAGGCGCCGCTTCTTGGGTGGACAGGTTTTCCACGGTATGAGGCCAAAGGTATGTGCTGGAGAGAGTGCTGCAGGGATGGGCCACCGGCCACAGTGATTCAGAGGCAGTTGGGAGGGCCCCGCCCTAGAGACTCCTGGGCAGGTCTCTGCCCTTCATCTTCAAAGAGAAGCTAATAGCATCTGCCCTGGCTAATTCACAGGTTGCAGAGCTTGAAGAGATCCAATGGCATCACCTGTGTGAGGCTCTGGCCGTG